GTGCGAAATGGAGTCGACGCTAGCCATATTTGTATAGGCTCACCTGGCTGCGAGAACGCGTGGTGTGACGAGCCGGGTACCTGATGCGCACTAGCCCGATGACAAACGATCTTCGTGTGCAGTTGCATTGTTTGGCAATCCGGGAAGGGCTGGCAGTTGGGCAATCGGACCTTTCCACGACGCGGGAGATAACGACGTGCCGCAGCGGCCGCCGTTGTACGGTGACCGACCGGAAGCGGCGATCTTGGCAGGTAGCAAGCAACCTTAACAAAGAAATCTGGGTCCACGACAGCTCTCTTCTCCGCAGTTTCACCAGCCTGACAGTCTTGACTCAATTCATCGAGTAGGAACCCCGATTATCGCGCTGCAACAAGATGGCACCCAAGGAAACCAAGTTCAAGGTGGCTGCCGCCCACGCTGCGCCTGTCTTCATGGACAAAGCTGCCACCATCAAGAAGACTATCCGCCTCATCGAACAAGCTGCGAAAGATGATGTCAAGCTCTTGGTGTTCCCCGAGACCTTCATTCCTGGCTATCCTGTATGTGCATCGGCTGTTATCTCAAACTTGGTATGCTGGGGCTCAGGCTAATATTACCACAGTACTGGATCGAATGTTACCCACCCCTAAAGCAGGTCGCTGCTTTGGCCAAATACGCCGAAGAGAGCGTTGTAGTGGAGCCGAATGGGGAGGATGTGAGTGCTATTCAGGATGCCTGTCGCAGGACCGGTGTAGCCATCAATCTGGGCGTGTGCGAACGTGTCGCCAACGGCTATACACTGTTTAATTCGCAAGTTATTATCGATAGCGACGGCACTATACTCGGTGTTCATCGGAAGCTCCAGCCAACCTATGTCGAGCGCATGGTGTGGGCTCAGGGCAACGGAAGTACATTGCGCAACTGGCCATTGTCGCTCGGGTACAACCTCGGAGGTCTCGCGTGTTGGGAGCATACCATGAACGGCGCGCGCCAGGCCCTCATCACACAGAACCAGCACATTCATGCGGGAGCTTGGCCAGCATTGTCCACCATGGCCGGCTTCGAAGCCGTTGCCGATGCGCAGATCGAGGCGTTGATGAAGGCCCATGCCCTCACTGCCCAAGTCTTCGTCATCACTGCTTCCAACTACGTCGACCAACAGTGCCTCGACTGGATGGAAGAGAACCTCGGAAAGCAGGACCTCGTCAAGGCTGGCGGCGGCTGGTCTTCTGTCCTCCATCCGTTCTGCTCGTACATCGCTGGTCCGCACACGGGCGGAGAGGAGAAGTTGGTGCAGGGCGAGATTGACTTCTCCCATATGGGATCGGTAAAGGTGTGGATCGATGCGGCGGGCCACTACCAGCGTCCAGAGATTCTGCAGTTCGCATTCGATGCGCGCCCACACTGGGCTGATGAAAAGACCGATCGCTTCAGGGTGCGTACAGATGAGAAGAAGTCGGACACTGAGAGTGGTTATTCGTCTCAAGAGTGAGGTGAGGTCAAACTAGAGGATGTGGTCTTGGCAACTGTGCCGCATCGGCAGGCAGTCGCGATATGAAGTGGCGTGGTATGTGTGACATGTTACTGGCTGGACCTCGTGGAGGCTTAGCGACTCAGCCATCTTGTGCAGCCTCATTCAGGCGGGGTCAGGCGCAATCTCTCAAGAAGTTTCAACACTTTCATTACACCATTATCATCTCGTTCCCCAGAAGTTTTGTTGTTCTTTTGCCATGCCGATCACATTCGGTGCCGTAGGCGACATCATCTCCGTCGTTTTGCTTGTGAAAGATCTAGTCGCAGCGCTCGACGAGGCTCGCGGCTCCAAAGCAGAGTACCAGGCCGCCGTACGCGAGCTTTGGACTCTCGACCGTACGCTCCTCGAAATTGATTTACTTACTAGACAGCACGGGGATGGAGCTACGCCTGAGTTACGGAGTCTCTGCGAAACAGCAAAGCAAGCCGTAGCTAGATGCAATGACCGCGTTAGCGCCTACAAGAAGCGCATCCAGGGATACCAGCGCGCTTTTGAAGTCGGCAAAGTAAACAGAGTCAGAGAGATTGGAAGAGCGATTGGTTGGAGGACTGGAGAGAAAGAAGCGCTGGAGCAGTTTCGCGCAGAGATCGCGGGGACGACATCAAGCCTGCAGATGTTGTTGATCACGGCCAATGTGTAAGTATCATATATGTTCTGGTCAGAGCTGATGCTGATGTTGTATAGCACTTTACTTGGGGTAAGTCGAAAAGAGATGAATGACAAACTCGACGAAGCAAAGCGCAGGAACGACACGGCGACGCTCTTGCATGATGCATCACTCATCGACATCAAAGACGGCATTGAGAATGCTAACCGCAATATCGAAGCTGCCAACTCGATATTGGGGAATGTATCCGAAGCACTCAAGTTAGATTGGCTCCGAAAGCTTGGTTCTGAGCTTAAAGGCATGATACGAGGCGCGATGACGATCAACTTCGCGACTTACCATGCTGTTATGCGCCTGCAGACTTCACTTCCCAGCTACCTAGAGCGAAGCATGTTCGAGGAGCCAATAATACTGGACGATCCCATGGGTCGTATTGCGCCTGTCCATTTGCAATTCATCAACTCTTGGGATGCTTTCCACTCCGTTCTTGAGCTGCGATTCCAGGACATGCCAGGCCAGATCAAGATTGGACGAAGGCAATACGCCTTACAAGCCCGAGGTACGGGAAGAGAGATCGAGTTGTCGCGTCCATGGCACGCTGCGTTCATACCTGGTCAGCGAATTGACATGAGCTTTATCTTCAATCAGGATGATTCTAGCGAGAGCAGTAGCACTACCTGTCCAGGATGCCGGACCCAATCATCATATACTGCAGATGCCGATATACACTGTACAGAATGTCAGATGTTCTTTCGGAGGATTACCGTGATTCAGGACGACGAATCTCCGCTACAAGCCGGTCAAAATACACGAGAGCCCGACTTGCGACCAGGAGCTACAGCCATCGGTAGTCGAAAACGAGGTATATATGAGCTCAATGAACGCGAGGAAGAGGACGTGAGAAGCTTCAAGCGAGTGCGACTCGTCTCCAAAAGAAACCGTGCCGGTAAACGTGTACGCTTTCCGCATGGAACGCTCCAGAAGCATCAAGATTTGGACAATGTCATGGATCTATTTGGATCATTGAATGGACGTTTCACGCACCTTCGAGAACAAGTCGATCGATTCCACGCCCAGGTCAACAAGAATTCAGTCGAGCAAGTACTGAAAGGCGGCGAGGAATTCAGTCTCGAACGTCATGGAAAGCTCATGGCTTCTCTCAATTCACGTAGAGATAGGAAGGAGAGGGTTAGAAGGAAGAGTCAATCAGATATTGGCCCAACAAAATTTGCCCAGGAGGGCGGGGCGGACAATGGGAGCCTTCGATGGGTTACCGCCACCAGACCTAACGATTTCAAATCAAAGGCTAACATGCGAGCCGTGCGCCAAAGCGCGATGGCCAGCTACATGAAGACAACAAAAGCTCAGGTGAGAACCACAGCCGGGGCTGACTACGTAGCCTCCCGAGCTCAGATCCTCGGCGAACGTTTTTCCCCAAAACGACATACCATCCACCCCGAGAGCCACGAGCAGGATCAACCAAGGACGCGCTAAGAACCGACTAAGCATATGGTTCGTATCACCAATGATGAAGACAGAGGTTCGTAGAACAACCAAGATTGGCTCCTGACTATAGCATACCTATACTACGAAAAGGTCGTATACCAGAATCCCCACTAAAAGACGCTACCACTACCACTACTGCTCTCCCCTACATACACCACTTCTTCACCTGCACGCCCTTACACCCATCCTTCCCAAGATACCAATCATCGCAAAGCGTATTACACTCCACCCCCGGCTTCACAAACACCCTACCCTCCTGGCTCGGGTCGCCATTTGGAATACCATACCAAGGTAAACGCCATTGGACCTCGAAGTCGTTCGCTTCGTAGCCTGTTGCGCCTGTTGGGTGTCAGCCGGTCTTATCACTGGAGAGATGACGGAGAGTGGATGAAGGAGCGGCGATGGTGGTGAGAAGAGACGTACGATACCCATGGCGGCAGGCGCAATAATTTGGTCCGGGCATGTGAGGGTTATCATGGCCCCAGACGTAGGTGCAGGAGGTGGTGATGTCGCACTTGTTCTTGTCGGGGGTGGGCACGCAGGTGTCGCAGGGGGGTTCGTAGGGTGGAGAGAGAGCGGCGGTGAGGGCGAGGAAGGAAGAGATCATGGCGATGGTGAATGTCTTCATAATAAAGTTTGACAGTTGGGTGATGCAAATTTGATTGGTAGATGGTCGATTGAAGTGGGTGTTGATGTACTGTATTGCTTTGCTTGTTGCGGTCGCGAAATGCTGAGCGGAGTGGGACGGCGTTCTTATATTCGACATACCCTATCACATCTGTGTGTGTTCTTCTCCAGTGTCGTGTTCTACTCATGCCATAATCACTACCAAGAAATGCATCCCGTATCAGCGTTCGACGATCGACGCGGCATCGACGCTCACAATCGAATCAATACGAAGTCTTCTCAGCTAACATGGTATTCACACGTAACTGTGAGCCACCATAGTCTTACAAGATCTCTTGATCTCGTACTGCAAGACGTCCGTAGATGCCAAGCAACGAGTTTATGCACGCGAATGGTAGCAGCGACTCCATGGCTTTCGCCGCATCATCCAGCGCGACCAAAAGATGACCGCTAGGAAGATGCCACAGAGTAATTTTAGCAAAGATGGCTGAGTTGAACATCTGATGATATGTCTGGCGCGGTCAGGAGATCTCGTGTTGCTTCCCCGCATTCCTCAGCTTGCTGATGAGGCGGAGAACACGAATGTTAGCGGCATAAGAGGAGGCACATGTCGTGAATCTTGTTCGTGAATTTGGAAGTGTGGATGCGATAACAATAAATGTTGCTAATTGTGTAACCGGGATATGCCGGTGTTATGCGACTCCAGAACGCCATGCCATGATGCGTATGCAGTTGATCCTCACTGTCTCATCTCTTTCCCTTCTTGAGCACCAGTCCCTTCCAGCCCTTACTATCCTTGATCCGCCTGAGCGCTTTGCTCGCAACAGGATCCTTGGCCAAGTCATCCAAGCAAGCCTTCTTCTCTTCCTCACTCTCGTGCTCATGGAACTCGCACCATTCCTTCTCCATCTTTGGCCTCTCTCCCCTCGCCAACATTGTTACCAGCTCGAATAAGAAAGCTTGCGGAAGCTGACTTCGCAGGGCAATCGTGCGCTCGTCGTCGCGGTCGGGGTTCCAGTACACCGAGTACATATCGAGGAAGTATCGGCACAGCGGTGCGTCTGGTGGTAGGCTCTCGTAGGCGGCGATGACGTTGCTGTGGTCGGGCATGACTTGTAGGATCTCGTCGTTCGTTTGCCACGCTAAGATCACGGCGCGACGTAGCTTCGGGATGGCGTAGCGGTGTGCGAAGACGTAGAGTGATATGAACCGGCGCTCTAAGAAGCCTTCCAGCCCTCTCCACTTGTATGGTCTTGAGCAGCATGGGCACAGCGTCTCTTTGGGTATTTCGGGCTTCTCAGCTGGGTTTCGTGGAGGCGGTACTACGGCAGCCTTTTCGGGCTCAGCATCGCCAGGGACTTTCTCTGCACTGGGTGCAGGGCTGCTTGCTGCTGCAGCGTTGGCCGGTGGGGCGTCCGCTTCCGTGTCGTCGGTCTCTAGAGCAATGCCCCAAGACGCAGTATCCACATCATCGCCCTCCTCCTGACCGGTGGTGCTCGAACTGTCACCGCCATTGACACTGACTGCATGAGTCGGTGGGTGGACTTCCTTCCCTCCCTCGATGAGATGGTGTGGTATGAAGCCTGTGTATAACCATAGCATGAACGCGTCAAACACGTCAGGGGTTGTGTCGTCGAGGTCTAGCGTGGTTCCCGACTTCTCGTAGGGCGAGTTGCTCTTCTCTTCTAGGCATGTGTTGAAGTATGGGGAGCATCGTCGGAGAAGTTCGCGGTGGCAGCTGAAAGACTCGGCGTAGTCTTTTCCGCCGACTTTTACTGTGATGATCGTCTGATCAAAGTTTCTACCTCTGGTTAGTGGTTCAGCCTTGTAAATCTGAAAGCAATGATGGTACTCACCGGAAAGTATGACCGAGCGTAGTAGCACCTTTTGAGTGCATGAAAGGCATTTTGAGTAGATAGTCAGGTTCCATTCATTGTCGCCTTACTGCGGACTTCATCGCCATTATATCTCTACTTTCCAGCCCGGGTAATACGGGGAGCTCAGTTTCAGCAGTCGTGACAGATGCATCTTGGCGTTCGACCTTGCGGCGGTTGAATGCTTGTACGAGCTTCTGTGCCCTGTTCGAAGAGGCTTAAGCGGGGTGACAATGAGCTTAATTGAAACCGACAGGCCCTGGAGAACGAGTGACGGCTGGGCTCAGATGGGCGATCTTAGAACGAGGTAGGGGTCTGGTCGAGTCGTGCGGAAGAGGATGAGTTTGATAGCCGTTTCATGATGCTTGGCGGGGAAAGCATGCCTCAGCCGACATCTGGCTCGCACGAGATCTCCATGGCGGTGAGGTCGAGCCTGGCATCTCCTTGCGCGTGGCCTAACGTAGAGACGGGTGGTGCCGCAGGATGGCTTGGTGATGAAGTGGATGGGTTGGTTGGAGCGTGATCGAAGACGCGTCGCATCCCCGCGTCGTCTTTGTTGGCATCCGTGCACCGCTGACCCACTGCGTCTTCAATCCCCAGGAACCGCGATGAGCCCAACACCAAGCAAAGACAATATACACTCTACGAATCAGATAGCCACCGAGCATATGCGAACGATGACAGCTCGTAGTGTGATGCTTACCCCGCGTCTGTACGATGTCAACCCCACTTCAACCGCAGCCATCAGAACTTGGCCGCATCTAGCTATGCGTATAACTATGCCGCTGCGGTGCGCATTCTTATCTGCAAGTCGATCCGAATCCTGAAAGGTCATCAAGCACGGACGACTCCATATGGCTTCCAAACTCGACACAAAGACCTACCTAGGCAATGTCATCAACAACGAGCTCATCCCAACTCCTACCACGCGGCATTCCATCAATCCAGCCACCGGCCAACCACTCTACGAAGTGCCAGTAGCCAGGAAAGAAGATCTCGATGCCGCCGTGGACGCAGCACGTAAAGCATTCAAGATATGGAGCTCCACACCCTTCTCCGAGCGAGCAAACCTACTCCTCAAGTACGCCGATACGATTGAACACCACCGCAATGAGCTGGAGCAACTCCTCACCTCGGAGCAAGGCAAACCACTATCGCTATCCCGAACCGAGATGGACTGCGGCCTAACATGGTTACGCGCCTTCGCGACGATGGAGATCAAGGATGAGATCCTACAAGAAGACGACGAAAAGACTATCTACTCAACCCACCCACCCATCGGCGTATGCGCCGGCATCGTGCCCTGGAACTGGCCGATTCTGCTGGGTCTAGGGAAACTGGGCCCAGCGCTCATCACAGGAAACACGTTCATCATGAAGCCATCACCGTACACACCATACTGCGACCTCAAGCTCGGCGAGCTTGCCATGACTTTGTTCCCTCCAGGGGTCGTTCAGGTCCTCAGTGGAGACGACCGACTCGGCCCTTGGATCACAGAGCACCCTGGTATCGATAAGATCTCGTTTACAGGCTCGATAGCAACAGGCAGGTTGGTCGCAGCATCCTGTGCGAAGACGCTGAAGCGATATGTGCTGGAGCTTGGTGGTAATGACGCGGCGATTGTGTGTGAAGACGTGGATATCGATAAATGCCTGCCCAAGATCGCGACGCTGAGTTTTCTGAACTCGGGCCAGATATGCATGTTGACGAAGCGTATCTACATTCATGAGAGCATTTACGACACGTTCCGGGATAAGATGGTTGAGTTCACAAAGGAGAACATCAAGACCGGTGCTGGAACGGAAGAAGGCGTTGTGGTAGGGCCGTTGCAGAACAAAATGCAGTAAGCACATATCCTTCACTTCATTCAATCCCAGTACTGACACGTTACCCAGATTCGACAAAGTTCAAAACATGTACGCCCAAATCCCCCTCCAAAACTGGAAACCCGCCCTCGCCGGCACCATAACCCCAACCCCCCAAACCGGCTACTACATCACCCCCACCATCATCGACAACCCACCCGAAGACTCCCGCATCGTCCAAGAAGAGCCCTTCGGTCCCATCGTTCCGCTGCTCAAATGGAGTAACGAAGATGACGTCATCGACCGCGCCAACGCGCTGAGAACGGGGCTGGGCGCATCGGTGTGGAGTAAAGACATCACGCGCGCGGAGGGCATGGCACGGAGATTAGAAGCGGGGAGTGTGTGGGTGAATTCGCATTTTGATGTTGACCCTAGAGTGCCATTTGGGGGGCATAAAGAGAGTGGGGTGGGCATGGAGTGGGGGATGGAGGGGTTGAAGCATTATACGAATAGTAGGAGTTTGTGGGTTTGGAAGAGGGTCTTTGAGTAGGGTGGTGGGGGTATGCTGTTGAAGCAACGAATGAGTTATTGTTGAGTAAGCAGTGATGATATATCCTGTTATGCCTCAGGCCTTGCTGTTGCCCCATTCTCTCCACCACTCGTAGAGTGCGATACCACCCGCAGTTTGGACATCTTTTGACAAATTTAGTACGTTGTTCTTGATCGGACAATATAATCGAAACTTACTCAAGCTCCTAGTTACTCCCACAGTCTTGATCTCGACGTTGCGATCGATGACAGCCAGCACCTCCGCGGAGATACCTTCCTTCTCACTACCCAGCACAAGACAGCACTTCTTGGGTAATGTACCAATGTCCTGGCTTCTAGCCTCTTTCACAATCGTCCCTTCATCCACAACATCATTCTTACTATCCTCACTCCCCAATATGCCACTCCGATCAGTCTGCTCGATGCCTACAACCTCATACCCCTTACTCTTGGCATCGAGTAAGAACGCCGGTACGCCAACCTCCTTCAGCTCATTAATAGCAAGATGTTTCTCCGATCGCACACTGGTAGCCTTGAAGTCTTTGTGCGCGACCTTCTTGAGGTCGTCGATGTAGAGGGCTTCGAGACCGAAAGATTCGGATATGCGGGAGAGACCACCGAGATTGGTGGGGTTGTCGATGAGAGAGGCAACGAGCATGACGGATGCGGGACGGGCATTTTGCATGCTGGGTGGGCCTCCAGGTGGGTGAAGGTTGTCGAGGTCAATGCCGGCTTTGGTTTGGAGGGTGATTTGGCCGGTCGGCTCTGTGGTGGTGGTGGTGGGTACCGGGGTAGTTGTAGCTGGTGTTATGACGTCAAAGCTGGGTTTGATCTTGTTCCCAAGTGCTATGCGTGCAGGTGGCGGGGTGAAACCATCTGACTGATCATCACGCTGGAGAGCCTCGAAGTCTTCATGCGTGACAAGCTCTGGTTCCGGTGTCTCGATCGACAGGTATCGGCCTTGGAAGATGCCTGTAAGGGTAAAGTCCTCTTCAATATCGACCTTTAGAGTTCTTATTGTCCAGGGAGAAGCGTTGAACTTGTCCAGCCGGCGGATGAAAGCGTTCATGCCTACGAAAGCACGATTCTCGGTAATCCTCCTCCAGCCCTTCTCAACAGCTATGTCAAACACGATAGGAAACGCAAAGTTTGCTTCGTGGCGGATCTGCACTTTGGGGCTGGCAGAGTAGGAGTTCAGGTGTGTGATGAACTCTACTGCAAAGTCTTGGGTTTCGTATGGCGCCACTAGAAGACCAATCTTCATCAGACTGGCGATATGAATCGGGCTATACTCTTCCAGATTTCCTAGCTCTATCAAGATACGCTGAGTAAATTCCGGGAACCGACGGTAAATGCGAGCTATGGCCCATTCGAGCAGGTAGCGGTATCGTGGCCATGATTCTACCACTAAGGCACGAGTGAAATAATCGAGATGACTCTCCACATTTATGTCATCCACACAGTAGTGACTCATCAATAGCATTGCCTGCAGTTGAAACGTGTTCTTCCATGGACATTTGACTGCGACTGGTGGTTTCTGATTCCCCCATGGAAGTTCCAACTCATCCAGTATATTCCGAGCAGTCTCTGGAGATGAGACATATGGGTCATTCGGAATACGATGTAGGATATCTATGACAGCTGCGTATGCATGCCATTCTCGCATACCGTAGTACGATGCATATGTTCGATGCGGCAGGTATTGCTGAAGCTTGTCCGCAGCGACAACCTCAAACAAAAACTCCGTTCCGATGGATGCTGGATTATTGATGAAATCAATAATGTAGTCGTCGAAGGGGAGGCCTCCCCGCGTTGATCTGATTGCACTTGGGTGTGCAAACACAGCTTTGCGTAGCGATCGAGCAAGTACTGCAAGAATGTAGGACCGTCCCTTGGATAGCTTCGTGAGTCGTTTCATGGCTACCGAGAGCAGAGTCCTAATGTCGCACCAATTAGGAAAGTGATTCAAACCCTCCTCAACACTGACATATATGCATTTCGGATGGAATAGTAGGGAAGGTAGTTGCATAGCAAATGGTCTGATGAAGTCGCGAATCTCAGCCTCTTCCCACAACGCTGCCAACACGGTGTGCAAGTCGTCTGGGTCGATATCGGCTGGTTCAGTACGATCTAGGAGCTCTATCACGCTCTTGCAAGCGGGCGCGAAGGCTGAGCCTTGTATGCAGCTATGTTTCGATTCGCGGAGGTCGTTGATGAAGGACCGAAGAGTGGGTAGCCCGCCATCTCTGGTGCCAAAAGTCGATTGAAGCGCAGAATGATCCACTGGATCTTCCAGTTTTTGGCATTTGGCTCGCAGGACTTCGCTAGTTGGTACGCCTTTCGACTGTAGATCAGGATCAAGAAGATCGCAGAGCCTTCGACAGTGAATGCTGTGTAAGTCGCTTGCTACCTCAGGCAACCCAGGCAAGCGTGACAAGCTGAGGATCTCGGTAATCTCCGACATCTCCAGCTTGTGATGCGGTAGACCTCGCGCGTATCGCGTCTCCAGGCCTTTAACGAGGCCATGTATCAGGTACAGTATTGCTGGTTGGAACATCCTCCCGCCGGCGTTCAGGACGTAACGAACGATACCAAGTACGATTGCACGGCCACTTCGGTTGTCCACCCCAACTTCGGAGACGGCAAAGTTGACCGAAGGGATAAATGATGGGCTTTCT